GAGCCTCTTGGGTTTGCAGATTGGAAGGTTGGCGGTTCAAATCCCCACGATGGGGTGAGCTCCCATTGCTTGGTCCCTGCTCCTGCCCATATAGCAGTTCGAAAGCACGTCAAAGTGCAAGTAGATAAATAGGTACCACTCCAGCGGAAAGGTAAACGGCATTTACGTGTGCTGCTCTGGTTCGCCAGAAGCGGCTTAGTCCTGCTGGCCACATGACCCGGAAGCTGTACGCCGGCTCCCTCTCCCTGTAAAGTGAGTTGAGCGCCGCAACCCCAGAGTCGTCCGCGACTGGACCTAATGGTCACCTTTAAGTTGGTGGCTGGTCAGAACTTGGATGTCCCTCTGCCTGGAACCTTTGAGAGTTGCTGCAGGTCAGTGCAGACAATACTAGATCATCATCATCAAATCTTTATTGGCACCACATACAAACTTTCAGAATAAATAGACCCGTGCGATCTCACCGCCATTTCAACAGTACAGTCATTTGCCAAAGGGAAGAAGAGGTGAGCAATCTATTTCATCTCTATGGGTCTCCAGCAAGGGCAGGATCCTGTAGCGTACTTCAGCGACAAAAAAATCAAACTGAGGAACTTAGCTACTGTCTTCACTTCTCGGCCTTTTGGCTAAGATCAAGTGTTCTAAGCTAGATAGGCCAACACTGCAAAAACACGTAAGAACCCTGACTCTGATGGATCGGGCCAAAGGCCCCTCTGGCCCCGCATCCTGTTCTCACAGTGGTCCACCAGATGCCCACGGGAAACCAACAAGCAGGATTCGAACCCAAGAGCCCTCTCCCCTCCTGTGGTTTCCAGCAACTGGAATTCAGAGGAAGACCACAGCCATCGTGCCTAGTAGCCATCGATAGCTCTCTTCTCCTCCATGAATTTGTCTGACCCTCTTTTAAAGCCATCCAAGTTGGTGGCCATCACATCCTCCTGTGGCAGGGAGTTCCATAGTTCAACTGTGCTGCATGAAGAAGGGCTTTCTTTTACCTGTCCCGAATCTTCCAATACTCCGCTTCACTGAAGGTCTACAAGTTAGCACGGCCGAGCGGAGGGCCCCAGGTTTGGGAAGGCTGGGTGGCCTAGGGCTTCATACCAGACAGGCCTGCAAACCTGTGGCCCCAGCGAGAGGGAAGCAGCACATGACGAGATACACCTTGTGGCTTGAGGACTGCCTTGGTGCAGATGTTTAATCGAACCTCCAGCGGCTCAGTATTCATGGTTGATACACCACACCTAGCCCAATGGGTCACAAATTGTGCCTGTTGGTCGCAAGGGAAGCAGAACACTCAAAAACAGGGTGATGCCGTGGGGCATTCACACAATCAAGAACAGTCCCACCCCCACCCCCACAGGTTGTCGCCTAGCTCTAGTACCCTTTGTGGCTTGTTGTTGTTGAGTCGTTTAGTCGTGTCCGCCTCTTCGTGACCCCCTGGACCAGAGCACGCCAGGCCCTCCTGTCTTCCACTGCCTCCCGCAGTTTGGTCAAACTCATGCTGGTAGCTTTGAGAACACGTCCTCTGCCTTCCCCTTCTCCTTGTGCCCTCCATCTTTCCCAACATCAGGGTCTTTTCCAGGGAGTCTTCTCTTCTCATGAGGTGGCCAAAGTCTTGGAGCCTCAGCTTCAGGATCTGTCCTTCCAGGGAGCACTCAGGGCTGATTTCCTTCAGAATGGAGAGGTTTGATCTTCTTGCAGTCCATGGGACTCTCAAGAGTCTCCTCCAGCACCAGAATTCAAAAGCATGAATTCTTTGGTGATCAGCCTTCTTGATGGTCCAGCTCTCACTTCCATACATCGCTACTGGGAAAACCATAGCTTTAACTATACTGACCTTTGTTGGCAAGCTTTGTGGCTTAGGGCCCTCATATTTATGGGACTGCCTCTCCTGGTATGCCCTGCACAGGACCTTAAGGCCCATGAATAACCATAGTTCAGAGGTCCCGGGCCCTAAGGAAGCCAGACTATCCTCCACCAGGGCCAGGGCCTTTTCAGTGATGGCTCCAACCTGGTGGAATGCTCTGTCCCATGAGACTAGGGCCCTGCAGGATTTAACCTCCTTCCGTTGGGTCTGTAAGACAGAGCTATTCTGCCTGGCCTTTAATTTGAATTCAGCCTGATCTTTCACTCCCCTTCTCTTCCCTCCCCCTCCCCTTTTATGAAGATCACCTGCTCTGAGACCCCACAGCTAATTCTCCCCTGATCTCCTCGCTGGCCCAAGTAGGACCAGTCCAGCCAGCTAGCCCTGGGGATTATCTAATGCTTATTTCCCCTAAATTGATTTCTGAATTTTGAATTTTATTGTTATTCGTGTTTTTATACTGTGTTTTATGCTGCTTTTACAATGAAGTGTTTTAAATTTGTTGTTAGCCGCCTTGAGCCCGGTTTTTGAACCAGGAAGGGTGGGGTATAAATAAAAAAATATTATTATTATTAGTAGTAGTAAGCTGGCAGGTCCTATTGGCCAATCCAGAGGTCCAGATTTCCTCTGCACTGGGGATTTCCTCTGCCCACCCTCCCTTGCAAATAATTATTCTCCCTAATTAGTCTTGGGAGGACTAGTTCGCTCTATGCAGATACTGAACAGCAAAACTCCTTTCCATTTTGCCGTTCAGTTCTGCCTTTTAGGCCCGCTGAGGTTTCCCCTCTTTTCACCCTGCGAGATCTCCTAAAAGCATTAAATTGGATAAAAATAGTCAGCGGGGGGAAGAGGAGGGGAATCTCCATCTTGGGCAGCCTAGATACAATCCTGAGAAAACCGCTGAGGATTTCAGTTCCCCGGCTAGAGGCAGGATCCAGCTGAAAAGCGGCAGGAAAGGTCAGTCTCTGGATCGAAAGCTGTCAAGAAGGATCACATCCACCTGTTAAAAGGGGATATCTAAAATTTCTCAGAGGAGGAAACCATGGTAAGTGTTGTTTCCTTGGGAACAGGAGGATGGTTGTATTTGGAAACAATTTCATTTTGTTGAAAGGCACCACCTGCCTTAAGAGATCTCCTGAGCTCCAGTGTAGATATAGCTGGAAATGACCCCAATGAAACTTCTGTGGAAGTTTTCTCCACTGAGGTGATATGATAGTCATCTTCCGATATCGCAAAGGCTGTCACGTGGAAGATGGAGAAAGCTTCTTTTCTGCTGTTCCAGAGCAGAGAACCCACTAATAATACATTGGTACCTCGGGTTAAGTACTTAATTTGTTCCAGAGGTCCGTTTTTAACCTGAAACTGTTCTTAACCTGAAGCACCAGCTTAGCTAATGGGGCCTGCTGCTGTGCCGCATCACTACCACGCTATTTCTGTTCTCCTCCTGAAGCAAAGTTCTTAACCCAAGGTACTATTTCTGGGTTAGCGGAGTCTGTAACCTGATGCGTATCTAACCTGAAGCGTATGTAACCCAAGGTACCACTGTAATAATAATAATAATAATAATAATAATAATAATAATAATTTATTATTTATACCCCGCCCATCTGGCTGGGTTTCCCCAGCCATTCTGGGTGGCTTCCAACTGAATATTAAAAACAATACAGCATCAGACATTAAAAGCTTCCCTAAACAGGGCTGCCTTCAGGTGTCTTCTAAACGTCAGATAGTTGTTTATCTCTTTGACATCTGAAGGGAGAGCATTCCACAGGGTGGGTGCCACTACCGAGAAGGCCCTCTGCCTGGTTCCCTGTAACTTGGCTTCTTGCAGCGAGGGAACCGCCAGAAGGCCCTTGGAGCTGGACCTCAGTGTCCGGGCAGAATGATGGGGGTGGAGACACTCCTTCAGGGATACTGGACCGAGGCCGTTTAGGGCTTTAAAGGTCAGCACCAAACCAACGGATTCAAAATCCCAGTCATGGGTTTGAGCCCCACATTGGGTGAAAGGTAGGGGGTTGGGTTGGATGACCCTGGTGCCCTTTTCCAACTCTACAATGCTTTACCAACTGCACTGCCTCCCGGTGGAGTACAGAGTCAGGTTTAAGGTGCTGGTTTTAACCTTTAAAGCCCTATACGGCCTAGGACCCACGTACCTATGGGACCGCCTCTCCTGGTATGCCCCGCAGAGGACCTTACGGTTTGCAAATCATAATATCTTGGCAGTCCCGGGCCTCAAGGAAGTTAAACTGGCCTCAACCAGGGCCAGGGCCTTTTCAGCTTTGGCCCCAGTCTGTGGTGGTACACCCCATCGCAGGAGACCAGGGCCCTCTGGGACTTGACATCCTTCCACAGAGCCTGCAAGATGGAGTTGGCCTGGCCTTCAGTCCGGGCCCAGTTTGATGCCCCTCTATGGGACCCTGTAAGTTACCTCTTCGGCCTTCTTATCGGCTCATGTGGGACCAACATGGATAGCTGGCCCTGATGATTATTTGAGGTTCCCGATCCCTATGGTTGTAATTCATGGGCAGTCATTTACTTTTACCCTGATTCTAATTTTTTAAGCTGTATTTTAATCAATTGTTTGATTGTTTTTTAATGTATTTGATATTCGATGTTAGCCGCCCTGAGCCCAGTCTTGGCCGGGGAGGGCGGCGTATAAATAAAAATTTACTTACTTACTTACAAGTCCATGAAATTATAAGGAAGGCAATCCTTGGGAGATGATATAGAATGAATTGAAAAAAATGTTTAAAATGACATTTGTAAAGAAACCAGAAGCATTTTTGTTAGGGATTTTAGGACGAGACCCGTCAATAAAAACAAACAATCTATTTATGTATGCAACAACAGCATCTTGTTAGCACAAGGATGGAAGAATGAGGAAACCCCAATGAAAGAACAATGGCAAGAAAAATTGATGAGTTATGCAGAGTTTGCAAAGTTGACATATAAATTACGTGAGAAGGACAATCGTGACTTCAAGGAAGAATGGGAACTGTTTACAAATTATCTAAAAAAACAACAAAACAATTTGGACTCCTTGGCAGGTTTTGAATAAACATCCACAAATTTATTAGTAGAATATATGACAGATAAGGCAATGGTATGTACTGTAGCCTTATTGGAATTCACCGATTGGGTCTGCGTTGCTCCGGGACAGGAGGAAGGAAGTCAAACGACACCTGAGGTTGATTCAAAGAAAGAGTTTATTCTGCTCTCCGGATAGCAGAAGGCACTTGCGTGATCAAGTCCACAGCAAGTCCAAAGAAATGACAGGTTTCATGCAGTTTATATACTCTCTAGGCATCCTCTCCCCCTTCCCCAGCCACATCAGCTTGTATACGCAGGTTGACATCACATATGTTCCTGCTCTGGTACTCTCAACCATAAAAGGATCTTCCTTCCTGTACTTCTGACCATAAAAGGATCTTCCTCTTCCTACTCTTATCTGGGGGGGACATCATAATCTCCGGGAACACACTTTTGGCGTTTTTTTCTGGACATTGGTCTTGTGCGTATTTTGTGGTCGGCACATAAGATAAAGTTCTGACGTGTTTTCGTTGTTCCCTGGGGAGCCAAGGCCATGCCTTGCCTGTCCCGATAAAGGACAGAACTGTTTATGCAGTTGTGTCCTTATTATGGTTTTGCTCAACAGTTCAATTTTTACGCATTTAAAAGTGCTCTCTTTTGAAAGAACAAAAGGGGGGGGGGTTGAGTCAGTTTTTAAACTTACTACACAGAAACCCATTCCTTCAGTACCATTTTTAACATGTAGAGAATAATATGTGCAAACAAATCAGAGAGGGGAGCTGAGGGAAGTCTTTAGCGGGTGGGAGAGGGAGGGAAGGGGGAATAAAAAAGGGGGGAATGTAATTGGTTATTTTGATTGATAATTTGTTTTATTAAAATCGTTTAACAAAAATATATATATTTATTTTTTAAAAAGGAAGGCAATCACAACTAAGCATCAGGAATAATTTACTGACAGTAAGAGTCATTCGACAGTGGAACAAATGAAATATATACCAGGCCTAGAGGATAAGAGACAGAATAATTTTATTCCAAGAGACTCTGTCCAGAACCCTTCTCAAGATGGCGGCTAGCCATGGATCAAACTGTCCCATCTCCCATGCTTCATCAGATTGGCTTCCTGGATCAACAAGGCACATGGGATGATGGGAACTGTCCTCTCCTTGCCACAATTTCCAGCTACGGACACCATCCCACATAACCAGAAGGCTATGCAGTTCACAGGCTGGCAAACCCAACAACTCCAAGCGCCGGTTCTAGGTTCCCTCGTCCTTTCGGATGAACGGAAGCAGCTCGTTCGTGAGGGTGTGGCGCCGGTCACGCCAATGGAAATGCGTCGGCGCCTGGCTGGGTCCTTGCTCATAGTCAAAGCAAGGGCTCAGCTCAAACGCCAAGGCCGATTTCACCAGCCCAACGCCACCAGCTTTCTCTGGCCCCGGGTGGTACAGGCGCCCATTCTCTGGCAGCATCAGCAGCTTCTCAGGTTGGAAGGGCACGGCCAGTTTGTCCGCTCCGCCGCAGTAAGACAACAGCTCCTCGCCCGACGCTCCCTGCAGGAGGTGGGTGAAGACGATCGGCAGGTCGTCGCATCGGACAAAGTTCTGCTCGCGGCCGCAGGGCGAGAGGTAGGGGAAGGCGGCTTCGTAGCGCCCGCTCTGGTTCAGTTTGAGCTGCTTGAAGAAGAAGACCAGGAACTGCTTGTCTGCAGGAGAGAAAGCAAGAGTCGATGCGTTTCCAATCTCCTACCATCACACGCGGGTGGCGCTGTGGGTTAAACCACAGAGCCTAGGACTTGCCAATCAGAAGGTCGGCAGTTCGAATCCCCGCAACATCCCATTGCTCGGTCCCTACTCCTGCCAACCTAGCAGTTCGAAAGCACACCACTGCAAGTAGATAAATAGGTACCACTCCGGCGGGAAGATAAACGGCGTTTCCGTGTGCTGCTCTGGTTCGCCAGAAGCGGCTCAGTCATGCTGGCCACATGACCCGGAAGCTGTACGCCAACTCCCTCGGCCAGTAAAGCGAGATGAGCGCCCTTCTATTTTTGTATACTTCCACTTTATATTTTATACACACACTTACACACTTGTTTCTAAGGTCTTTGATCAGATCCTCAAAACTAATCTTACATAACGTATCTGCTTCTACGCTTAGTAAGGATAAGGCATCCAGCCTGCCTTGTTGCAGAGTTGCTCTGTTGGGATTTTTAATATACTTCAGCTGAGAAAATGAATGCTCAGTTAAAAATCAGGCAGTGGAAAATTTCCGCGGTGCCTGCCCTTCCCTTGATGCCCAGAGCACGTGCTTAATTGCTCATCCAGCCCTAGAGGAGGTCGATCCACCACCCGAAGCAAATGGCTTCCCTTTGCCTAATGCATGGGCTGGTTCTGGCCGGGGTCAAACATCCCTTGAAACAGACAAAATGAAGTATCCTCTGTTGTGCTCCCAGCTCTGATTTCCTTGAGGAAGAGAGCATCAGGCAAGGCCAGCCTGCAGCTCAGAAGAAGGCAATCTGAACCATGCTCTGTTTGGCTCCTTCGAACCGATCCGCCAAGCAGCAAACAGCCCTAGACGGAACAGAACTAACACAACCATTTTGCAGGATCCCTTCATTTACAAACCCATCTGTTCTCCGATTACGTTTTGTGTGTTTTGCCTTTAGGGATCTGAGAGACTGAAGGCACCCCCTTCCTAAAGAGATGTCTTAGCATGTCAAGGAAATAAACAACTATCTGACTTTTAGGAGGCATCTGAAGGCAGCCCTGTATAAGGAAGTTTTTAATGTGTGATGTTTTATAGTGGTTTTATAATTTGCTGGAAGCCGCCCAAAGTGGCTGGGCAACTCAATTAGATGGGTGGCACATAAATGATAAATCATCATCATTATCTTGTGTGTGGTTTGTGTTTGGAAGACAGAGAGTCGCGCTCATTTAAGGACTTTAGGAACTCGGGAAAACTATGCCAGAAAGGTCTAGGCCAGCCTCTCGCAACTATGTGCCATTCAGATGTTTTGGGCTAGAATCCCACCAGCCCTGCGCTGCCTGGGGCTGTTGGGCATTGCAGTGCAAATCATTGGAAGGGCACCAGGTTGGCCGAGGCTAGAAGACACAATCCGTGCCCTATAGCCAGGCAGGTGCTGTGATGACCTGGGACTCAGACTGGGACTCGGAACCGGAGGAGTCTCAGTCTACACCGGATCCTTTGCCTCAGGCATCATCTGAACCAAGTCTGGGGCCTGATCCTGAAGAGTCCCAGTCTGCACAGGTTCCCCTGCAACAAACACCAGCTGGGCCGAGTCAGGGGCCTGAGCCTGCCCTGGCTCCAGATGCGGGGATGACCTCGTTGCCTTCAGCTGGGCCATCACTCACAGCTGCTCCACTACTGGTTGGGTCAGGGGAGGCTGAGGCGGCCCCTGGGTCTAGTAACCCACCGACGTCTCCCGAGCTGCAGAGACTGAGGTCTGAGAGAAGGAGAGACCTGAGTACTTGCAGGAGGAGTGCTCGCCTTTGGGCGAAACAGGGAGGTGAGTCGCTGGGGGATCAGGACTGGCCGTTACCCCATCAGAGATAAAAGGTTAATGGACCCTGCCCCATGTTGTGGGAGCAACATTGCTGTATGCCAGATCTTGCCTGAGATCCTGTACCTGTCCTTGCCTGGTTTCCTGCCTCGTGTCCTGCCTTGACCCTGTCAGACTGACTCCTAGCGGAACCTTTGGATTCTGGACCGGACCTGGACTGTGTTCCTCGGGTTATCCCCGGGGCCAGCACAGACGCACGTGTGGAGCGACCCTCAAGCGCCAGCTCTTGCCCAAGGAACGCATGCAGAACGCGACTCAATCAAAACCAGCACGTAAGCCAAACACCTTGGCCATCGGCTTCGTTTATTTTGAGCTCAGAAGGCCGTTTCTTCGCTGCGCGCTTCCTTGGCAAGCCATTTGGATGTTCTGCTTCTCTTTGGCATTCAGCCCAAACAACTGCGACCCGGAGGCAGCGGACCCAGCGGCATTTACAAGCGCAAGCCGCAGAACACAGGCAGGTGGGAAGAGTCGTAAATCTGAGTTATTAATAGCGCAGGTGCAGCCGCGTAATTGGCGGAAGGAAATTAAAATGCAAACAGGCACACGCCGTGCGTGTTTTGTTTGTTTTGCTGGGAGCTACTCTGGAAACGAGGCGATGGTTGGGGTGTGTGTGTGTGTGTGTGTGTGAAAGAGTCCAATCTGGAAGCGGTGGGGAGAAGGAAGGATGCGGCTCGCACAAGCCCGATCCCAAGCTCATCACGTTATGTGACGGTGCAAAATCCCACGTGGATTTGGCAGGGATGTTTCGCAAGCGGGAAAGGAGATTCCTGCCCCCGGATCTTCAAATCGGAGGGCTCTTAAACCCAGGCGACTGTGTGCTAGCTGGAAGCACAGCCCTGAATCCCACTTAGCTATGATTTTTAATGAGACGAGGAAGGTGAGGATTGAGACTTTAAGCAGTGGCTGGAGGAGAGAGAACATAGGAATGGCAAATCTGAACTGGGGGCTCTTGAAAAGCGTTTTAGCTCCACTCCTCCCCCCACTGGGCCACTGCTGTCCTGGGACATGTCACTTTTGAAGAGGAACGATGTGGCAAGCGAGCGCTGCTGACGATGCTCCTGCGGAAGTGGAGACATGGCGCAGTGACAGCATCCCTCTGCAGTGCAGATCGTCTTGGGGGGGGGGGTTGCTCTGCCTCTGACCTGCATCCGACCCCCAGGCAGGAGGCAAACCGCAGGAGTCGGGGGCACACCAGCTTGCAAGCACTTTCATTCTCTTTCTCCTCCCCTTTTTAAAAAATGAACTCTTGACTGCTCACGGTTACAACTGGTGCATTGGAAGATGAAACCGGGGGTGGGGTGGGGGGTGGGAATGGACAGCCCACCCAAAGACAAGAGGAAGGCAGGGGGGGAATGTGGGCTCATTCAGCAATAACTATTGCAATTCCTGGTTCAGTTTTAAATGTAGGTTTGTATATACCTCCAGCATCTTAAAAAGCAGAAAGCAGAGACATCATCTTGCCAACAAAGGTCCGTACAGTGGTACCTCGGGTTACATACGCTTCAGGTTACATATCCTTCAGGTTACAGACTCCACTAACCCAGAATTAGTACCTCAGGTTAAGAACTTTGCTTCAGGATGAGAACAGAAATCGTGCTCCGGCAGCGCGGCGGCAGCAGGAGGCCCCATTAGCTAAAGTGGTGCTTCAGGTTAAGAACAGTTTCAGATTAAGAACGGACTTCTGGAATGAATTAAGTACTTAACCCAAGGTACCACTGTATAGTTAAAGCTATGGTTTTCCCAGTAGTGATGTATGGAAGTGAGAGCTGGACCATAAAGAAGGCTGATCGCCGAAGAATGGATGCTTTTGAATTATGGTGCTGGAGGAGACTCTTGAGAGTCCCATGGACTGCACGAAGATCCAACCTCTCCATACTGAAGGAAATCAGGCCTGAGTGCTCACTGAGGCTCCAAGCTGAGGCTCCAAGACTTTGGCCACCTCCTGAGAAGAGAAGACTCCCTGGAAAAGACCCTGATGTTGGGAAAGATGGAGGGCACAAGGAGAAGGGGACGACAGAGGACGAGATGGTGGGACAGTGTTCTCGAAGCTACCAGCATGAGTTTGATCAAACTGCGGGAGGCAGTGGAAGACAGGAGTGCCTGGCTTGCTCTGGTCCATGGGGTCACGAAGAGTCAGACACGACTAAACAACAATATACCGCCACTTTCTCACACATTTCTACCAATCCTTCCAAGCTTCTGATATAAATTGAACCCCGAGGTTCTCCCAAGGAAGGCCAATCCTGGCATAATAAAAAAAATTCCTTCCAGTAGCACCTTAGAGACCAACTAAGTTTATTGGTATGAGCTTTTGTGTGCATGCACACTTCTTCAGACTTATGCATGCACACGAAAGCTCATACCAGTAACAAACTTAGCTGGTCTCTAAGGTGCTACTGGAAGGAATTTTTTTATTTTGTTTCGACTACGGCAGACCAACACGGCTACCTACCTGTAACTAGATCCTGGCATAAGTTTATGCCCCCCAGGGCCACCCAGAAGATACTTCCTGGCACCCAGGTGACCCACATTAGGAAATGACTGGCCATTTCTCAAAGCAAAAACACTTTCCTTGCCACCCCATTGGTTTCTATGCCGTTTCTTTTTTTGTAAAGGAAGAAGATTTGAGTGTATTATCAATTTAGGATAGGGTGGAAGGTTCGGAGGCTATGAAGGACTTGCTCACAAATTTATTGACAGCTGCACGAATTATGGCAGCTAGGAAGTGGAAGGGGCAGGCAGAATATAAAATGGAAGAATGGTATAAAGGGGTGTGGGATACAGCTATTAATGATAAGTTAACATGTGCCATTAAGGTAAGGCGGGGAATACGCAGAAGAAATGATTTTGAGGAGATATGGAAGGTGTTTGTAGTATTTGTACTGTTAAAATGGAAAGGGGTCAAGAGGTGTTGAAATTTTGGGAGGTTGGATAGCTACAACGGAATGGTCTTGGTGATGGGGTACACATTTTTATTCTTATTTATTTATGATTATTACTTTGTCAAAATAAAAAATAAAAAGGTTTGAGTGGAAGTATTAATTTAAAAAAAGAAATAAATTCTATCATACGCTTATCCAATTAGGTCTTCCATCTGATAAGGGTCTTTTCCTCTGTGACTGATGTAGGATGTGACTAACCAAGGGATGGAAGGAAAGGAACACAGAAAGCTGCCTTATACCAAACGTTACACCGGCATATCTAGCCCACCTAGATCTACAACTAATCCAGAATGCGGCAGCTAGACTGGTGACTGGGAGTGGCCGCGGAGATCATATAACCCCGTCCTGAGAGACCTACATGGGCTCCCAGTACGTTTCCGAGCACAATTCAAAGTGTTGGTGCTGACCTTTAAAGCCCTAAACAGCCTTGGCCCAGTAGACCTGAAGGAGCGTTTCCAACCCCATCGTTCTACCCGGACACTGAGATCCAGCTCCGAGGGCCTTCTGGCGGTTCCCTCCCTGCAAGAAGCCAAGTTACAGGGAACCAGGGAGAGGGCCTTCTTGGTGGTGGCACCTGCCCTGTGGAATGCCCTCCCACCAGATGTCAAGGAGATAAACAACTACCTGACTTTTAGAAGACATCTGAAGGCAGCCCAGTTTAGGGAAATTTTTAATGTTTAATAGGTTATTGTATTTTAGTGTTTTGTTGGAAGCCGCCCAGAGTGGCTGGGGAAGCTATTATTATTATTATTATTATTATTTATTATAGCCCAATGCTGTCAACACTGACTGGCAGCAGCCCTCCCAGCTCTACCTGGAGATGACGGCGTTTGAACCCGGGACTTTTTGCATGCAACGCGGATACTCATGGCACTGGTGGGATTGCACCAGGCTGCTGACGGATGCGCTCAAGCAATGCGCAATGCATCTTAGCCCCAGGGAGAAGAATGTGCGGGGAAAATGGGGGGCAGAGGCAGTTGCAAGACTAGATCCTATTTGCCAGCTGATGGGGGGAAACATCACTGGACCTTATTGTCCCCAAAGGCCTCATTTAGCTGGAGATTTGCTACAGCAAATGTTGACTACCGCGAACGATTATGGGAGGGTTCCGGATTAGCAAAAGCCGGCATGAGGAAATGGGGAGGTCAAGGCATATTGTGAGGTTTGGCGGAGGAACATCTGGCGCTCGGCTCTGAGGACAGGAGAAAGAATGGGGCTGGCAGGAGGGCATCCTACAACCAGCGTGCTCTCCCTCAAACCCGACCCTAGATGTGGAGTGATCTCACCAGCCTCATTTGCCCCCAGGGGTGGAGCATCACTTCACTGCCTTGGCCTCGCAAGGCCTGGTGGCGCGCCGGCCTGGGATTTTAATACCGATTAAAGATTACGCCGCCAGGTCTTAATGCAGGAACACTGGAGAGGATGAGTGCAGCTCCGGAGAAGATAAAAAGTCTCCAAGCGGGGATTTTCAGGATCATGCAATGGCTTAGCAGAGGATCCTCTAATTCTCACCAGGAGATCTCACTTACACAACCGTTGACTATTCGGGGGGGGGGGGGGGGACCATCTGCTCTGGAGCACCTGCCAGAGCTTGCATAACCTGCGTGAAAAAGTTTCCCCCCCCCAGGAACAAGTCACAGGCGAAAGTGTTCTTCAACTCACACAACCGCTCCCTCCTTGCAATTTGCTGTCAAACGGAAGCTGAACCTCCGGCCAGCCCACGACACTCTTCAAGCAATGCGTAGTTAAAACCAAATTAAAGGTAAAGGTAAAGGGACCCCTGACCATTAGGTCCAGTCGCGGGCTACTCTGGGGTTGCGGCGTTCATCTCGCTTTATTGGCCGAGGGAGCCGGTGTACAGCTTCTGGGTCATGTGGCCAGCAGGACTAAGCCGCTTCTGGCGAACCAGAGCAGCGCACGGAAACGCTGTTTACCTTCCCGCTGGAGTGATACCTATTTATCTACTTGCACTTGACGTGCTTTCGAACTGCTAGGTTGGCAGGAGCAGAGACCGAGCAACGGGAGCTCACCCTGTCACGGGGATTCGAACCGCCGACCTTCTGATCGGCAAGCCCTAGGCTCTGCGGTTTAACTCACGGCGCCACCTTTAAAAGGTGCTTAGACACAGTCCTGGAGGAACTGACAGCTCCTCAGCCTTGTTGGCACTCAACAAAGATATGCCTAAGGGCTGAGAGGTCAAGGGAGGTGTTGGGGGGACTGGAAAGAACCTGCTGGCAGTCTAGATTCTGCCAGGCACTGTCAGTTGGTGTGCTAGAGCAACATGAATGTGCTAGAGCAACGTTAACAACCAATGAAGGCTGCTCTGTTTGGATGAATGGGGCGCTGCCCCACCCATCTCAGCCTCACAGCTGCCTGCCTTCTTAAAATCAAAGAACTGTAGAGCTGGAAGGGACTGAGGGTCATCTAGTCCAGCCCCCAATGCCGGAACCACAGAATCCCATCCAACCTCTGTTTAAAAAACTCCAACGAAGGAGAGCCCCCCACCTTCCGAGGGAATCCATTCTTTCTTACAACCAGTCCGGGGTGTGTGTGTCCTGCGTGTCAATTTCCTCCACCCCCTCCTCAATCTCAGTGTTGCCCCCTATAATACTCATCAGGGAGGAGGAGGATTGGGGCAAAACTAGAGGCAGTTGGCTCTGCCTGTCTCTGGTTCCACCTCCTGTGGGGCTCCCTGTCTTCTGCCTCACCAGTCCCTAATTGGCACCAATGTCTCGGCAACACGATGACCATGTACATACGCAATAGACAATCTTTATAGAATTCCTTCAAAGCATAACAAAATGAAATCTTCAGTCTCAAAACCTCTGAAAATCTTTAAATGAATATGATATCCAACACTGAACACTGACTACATTATTACATGAGCACTATTCCACAGCATTTGATATTTTCATTTACATATATTCATTCGAAATAGGATTGGGCGCTGTGGGTTAAACTACAGAGCCTAGGATTTGCCGATCAGAAGGTCGGCGGTTCGAATCTCCGCGACGGGGTGAGCTCCCGTTGCTCAGTCCCAGCTCCAGCCAACCTAGCAGTTCGAAAACACGTCAAGTGCAAGTAGATAAATAGGTACCGCTCCGGTGGGAAGGTAAACGGCGTTTCCGTGCGCTGCTCTGGTTTGCCAGAAGCGGCTTAGTCATGCTGGCCACATGACCTGGAAGCTGTACGCCGGCTCCCTCAGCCAATAAAGCGAGATGAGCGCCGCAACCCCAGAGTCGGTCACGACTGGACCTAGTGGTCAGGGGTCCCTTTACCTTTACCTTTATGAAGCAATTATATATCCTCCCACCAGGCTGGCAAAGAATTCTACGAAACAGTAGTCAATATCTGGAATCACTGTTCAGCGTTGGACATCATATCTGCTGAATACACAAAGCTTCACAGCTTGTCTTTCATCGTACAAAGTCTGGTACCTCGCTTCACTTAAAGATTTTCAGAGACTTTGAGACTAAAGATTTCATTTTGTACTTATTATGGTTTGAAGGAATTCTATAAAGATTGTCTATTGCGTATGTACATGGTCATCGTGTTGCCGAGACATTGCTGATGTTCTCTATGCAACACAGGGGTTTGTTTGGTCACCTAATCGGCACCAGGCAGCCACCACTGTCAATGATGACTTGGAAGAGTCAAGCCCGCCATTTGCAATTTGTTTCTGCTCCCATGACGGTGCCCACTGACCCTGCTCAGCTGACTCAAGGAGGGATGGGTGCCTTCATCATCATCATCATCATCATCATCATCATAAATTTTATTTATACCCCGCCCTCCCCAGCCAAGACCAGGCTCAGGGCGGTTAACACCAAGTATAAAAACAATTAATTAAAATATAACTTAAAAACAAGATTAAAATACAACATTAAAATGAAGCCTCATTTCAGTAGAAACTCAAATCAAAAACTTTTTGGGGATGAAAATATCATATCTTCACCAAGGCCAACTATCCAGACTGGTCCTACGTGGGCCAGAAAAAAGCCAGGGAAGTCCCCAAATAGGAGTTCCATCACAGAAGGAGAAAGGGAAAGAGGGGAAGGGGATCAAGTTGATTCCAAGCCAAAGGCCATGCAGAAGAACTCTGTCTTACAGGCCCTGCGGAAAGAAATCAGATCCTGCAGGGCCCTGGTCTCATGAGGCAGAGCGTTCCACCAGGCCGGGGCCAGTGTTGAAAAGGCCCTGCCTCTGGCTGAGGCTAGTCTGACTTTCTTAGGGCCCGGGACCTCTAGGGTGTTGCTATTTATGGACCTTAAGGTCCTCCACGGGACATACATGGAGGAGCCGTGCAGACCGGGACGGAGCAGGTGGACATTACCTTTGAAACATGTGATGAAGTTCTTGACTTTGGCATCGTCCAGGAAAAGCTGCACAGGGTTGCCGGAGGAGGGATTGGGAGAAGGAGGAGAAAGAAACAGGATGATGAGCAGACAAGCCATCTACAGTCTAGTAAAACACAACTATTCAAGGCAGGCAGAGTGGGGAGGGCTGTATGGGTGTAGCTGAAGGACCAGAGAGCTCCACTGCTCAAGGAGGAACCAAAGACTCTCAGCCTGGGTTGCACAGCTAAGTTGATGATACATGCTGAGTCCAGCAACCTTCTCAATTGGCTTCACCTTGGACCTCACTTGCAACCTGAGCCATGTCTGGCCATCACTGAGCTGTCCAAAACTGGACTGAAGAAGGTTGCAGCAGATGTGGGCTTCTTCTGAAACAGGCAGCATGGCAAGATCTGTACAGATCCACGCAACGCATCCTGCACAACTTAGTGGCAGGAACTGGTTCTGAGACGACAGCTCTCAGCACATTTAATAGGAAAGTATTGCCACCTAACTCAAAACACATTTGGGGTGGGATTGTTATGGGCAGGGCTTTATTTCAGCCGGAACTCGCCTTCCGGCGCCTCTCAGATGGGTGACATCGCCAAGACAGTGGTACCTTGCTTGTCGAACGGCTTGGCTCCAGAACAAATCGGCTCCCAAAGTAAGTGTTCCAGTTAGCGAACGTTTTTTGGAAGCCGAACGTCCAACGCGGCTTCCGATTGAGTGCAGGAAGCTTCTGTAGCCAATCAGAAGCTGTGTGTGATGGCCTGGGATTCGGACTCAGAGGCTGAACCTGAGGAATCCCAGCCTGCACAGGATTCCCCGTCTCCAGAACCAGCTGAGCTGGGGCTGGGGCATGAGCCCGAAGGGTCCTCACCTGTGCTGGATCCTCAGGTGCAGGCATCAGCTGAGTCTGCTCTGGCTCCTGAGGTGATGGAGGACCCATAGCCTGCAGGTGCTCCACTCTCAGCCCCGTCAGGGGAAGGTGAGGTTGCCTCTGGGTCCAGTAACCCTCCAGCCTCTCCTGAGCTGCAGAGGCTCAGGGCAGAGAGGAAGAGGGAACTAAGTTCCTGCAGAAGGAGTGCTCGCCTCCAGGCCAGGAGGGGCGAGTCACCTGTGGACCAGGGCCGCCCTATGCCTCGAGGCAGATAAAAGCCGGCCAGCCCTAGTCCCAAGTTGTGGGAGCAACGTTGGTGGTAGCCTGTTCCTGCCTGCACCCTGAGCTGCTGTTCTGCCGGAGCTCCTGACCTCACCTGACTCCCTGCCTTGGACCCAACTTCAACTTTTACGGACTGCCTCCATACTGCACCCTCGACCTCGGACTGGACTCGGACCTCACCTCACGGTTAGCCCCCAGAACCAGCACACTGTGCTTTGGTATCCGAACGGTTCTGGGAGTCAGACAGAACGGATTAAGTTCGACAACCAAGGTACCACTGTATAAGAGAACCAGGGAGGTGTTCATGGCGAGTTCTGGCACCTCTTTTTCTAGAAAAATAGCACTAGTTAGGAGCCACACACTGGTACCGTCAAGAGACCCAGGCCCACACAGCTCACAGTTTGCCCAGCACCACCTTTCTCTTCTCCCTCTGCTTCATTGTCAACTTGTAATTTAATAATAATAATAATTTATTATTTATACCCCGCCCATCTGGCTGGGTTTCCCCAGCCACTCTGGGCGGCTTCCAACAGAACACTAAAATACAGTAACTTATTAAACATTAAAAGCTTCCCTAAACAGGGCTGCCTTCAGATGTCTTCTAAAAGTTTGGTAGTTATTTTTCTCTTTGACATCTGGTGGGAGGGCGTTCCACAGGGCGGGTGCCACCACCAAGAAGGCCCTCTGCCTGCTTCCCTGTAACTTGGCTTCTCGCAGCGAGGGAACCGCCAGAATGCCCTCGGAGCTGGACCTCAGTGTCCGGGCGGAATGATGGAGATTGAGACGCTCCTTCAGGTATACTGGACCGAGGCCGTTTAAGGCTTTAAATGTCAGGACCAACACTTTGAATTGTGCTCGGAAATGTACTGGGAGCCAGTGTAGGTCTTTCAAGACTGGTGTTACACGGTTTCGGTTGCTGCTCCCAGTCACCAGTCTAGCTGCCGCATTCTGGATTGGTTGTAGTTTCCGGGTCACCTTCAAAGATAGCCCCACATAGAGCGCATTGCAGTAGTCCAAGCGGGAGATAACTAGAGCATGCACCACTCTGGCGAGACAGTCTGCGGGCAGGAAGGGTCTCATCCTGCGTACCAGATGGAGCTGATAAACAGCTGAACGAACCCCAATTAAGACAAACCATGGCTTAGCATTGTGAGAGAACTGGGTCACTGGATGCCTCAAAGAGACAAAGGGCTTCAAAATATCTCAGCCAACACCACCCCTGCCCCTTAATTTGGCTTCCACCATATTATCTAAAGCACGGTAATATTGGGCTCTGGATAGACAGACACTGAGCAAAGGTTAAGGGTCAAGCAGCTTCCTAAAGGGCTATTCACTGCCTGGCGAATGCCAACAATGGAGCTGTTTGCAACTCAGAGCTCCCACATTCTTGAGGACTGCTAATTTCCAGATCAGTCCAGAGCAACAGGGCGGCCACGAACTCCTCTTTTAACACTAATTACAACTCCTAATCTCCCCCATAATGATTCATTCAGCACTAATTCGATACACCATTAATGCAGTGGAGGCGACTACGTGAATCGGCAGTTAACGCTAATGGATTAAAAAGAGGCCCAAACAGCCCCAAGGCTTGGCGCGATGCCAAGCGGCACTTTCCAGGCACACCATGCATCTACCACTCAACCGGCAGAGATCTGCGCTAGAGGTGGCTATTAACATTGGGCTGCCATGAAAAGGAGAACCCTGTACTACAGCTGGGCGATATCTGGCTTTCAACATTGCGGAATTTCATCAGCGGAACATCAAGATGCATCATGATGCCTGAAATAAGGATGGAGCTATGCAGATGTGAACAGTAAAAAGTAAAGGGACCCCTGACCATTAGGTCCAATCGTGACCGACTCTGGGGTTGCGGCGCTCATCTCGCCAGTGTGGTGTAGTGGTTAAGAGTGGTGGACTCGTAATCTGGTGAACCGGGTTCGATTCCCCGCTCCTCCACCTGCAGCTGCTGGGTGACCTTGGGCCAGTCACACTTCTCTGAAGTCTCTCAGCCTCAGTCACCTCACAGAGTGTTTGTTGTAGGGGAGGAAGGGAAAAGGAGATTGTTAGCTGCTTTGAGACTCCTTAGGGTAGTGATAAAGCGGTATAGCAAATCCAAACTCTTCTTCTTCTTCTTCTTCTTGGCCGAGGGAGCCGGTGTACAGCTTCTGGGTCATGTGGCCAGCATGACTAAGCCGCTTCTGACGAACCAGAGCAGCGCACGGAAACGCCATTTACCTTCCCGCCGGAACGGTACCTATTTATCTACTTGTACTTTGACGTGCTTTCGAACTGCTAGGTTGGCAGGAGCTCGGACTGAGATATGAACAGTAGGGCTGGGCGATATCTGGTTTGCTTCACTGTGATAATTCCATCAGCTAAACACGATGATATACTGATATATCACAAGGTGTGAAATAAGGATGAAGCTATGTAGAGGCAGAGGCTGGCTGCGTGGTTTTCCCTGCATCGTGATTTTTGCTTGGCACACACACACATCATGATTTGCGACATATTGCCAGGTCAAATATTTTGAAAGCATTATCACAATATGGACTTCAATAATAATAATAATAATAATAATAATAATAATAATAATAATAATAAATTATTTATACCCCGTCCATCTGGCTGGGTTTCCCCAGCCACTCTGGGCAGCTTCCAACAAAATATTAAAATACAGTAATGCAATAAGGGAGGCTTTTAACCTAGATAAAAAGATTGGTTTCCAGGAGGAAAAATCTAAATTGGAAACGGAATTGTTAGAGCCTAAAACTAAGAATTTGTCAAGAATGTATAATCTGCTGCTGAAATTGAATACACAGGATGAAACGGTTAAATCAGCTATGATAAAATGGGCACAAGATGTTGGGCATAATATTATGTTTGCTGACTGGGAACGGTTATGGACCACAGGTATGAAATTTACAGCTTGTAATGCCTTAAGAGAAAACATAATGAAAATGATTTATAGGTGGTACTTAACCCCAGTCAAGCTAGCAAAAATCTATCATCTGCCTGATAATAAATGTTGGAAATGTAAAGAAAATGAAGGTCCTTTTTTTCACCTTTGGCGGACGTGCCCAAAGATCAAGGCCTTCTGGGAAATGATATATAATGAATTAAAAAAGGTATTGAAATATACTTTCTTGAAGAAACCAGAGGCCTTCCTCTTGGGCATGGTCGGCCAATTGGTGCGAAGGGAAGATAGAATTTTTTTTATGTATGCGACAGCAGCAGCAAGAATACTCATTGGGAAATACTGGAAGACACAAGAATTGCCTACCCGAGAAGAGTGGCAGATGAAAGTGATGGACTATATGGAACTGGCTGAGATGACCGGCAGAATTCGAGACCAGGAAGAAGGGTCGATGGAAGAAGATTGGAAAATTTAAAATATATCTTCAAAAATACTGCAATATAAAAGAATGTTAGAAAGAGGTTGGAAAAGAATATTAGGCCGCTTTGGCAGATATGGTATAATGGATTAAGTAAAAATGAAGTGTAGAAACTGAGGATACAGGAGGATTAAATACATTATTGAATGTTAAAATAAGTAAATGAAAAGAAGGTTAGAAGGATTTGCTGGAAATATGATCTAAACTAGAATACAAAGCGGGGAGGTGAGAGGAAGTCATGGAAACAAGTAAAAGGGAAAAAGGTTGTAAAGGTTTAATTTGATTTTTGTTATACTTTATTATAATGTATTTTTATCTTTTGTTGAGTTTTTTTATTGTTTGTTTTTTGTAACATGTTTTATTCTTTTTTGTATGTTTTTTTTTTCCTTCTTTTTTGTTGTAATTTTAAAATTGGAATAAATATTCTTTAAAAAAAATAAAATAAAATACAGTAATGCATCAAACATTAAAAGCTTCCCTGAACAGGGCTGCCTTCAGATGTCTTCTAAAAGTCTGGTAATTGTTTTTCTCTTTGACATCTGGTGGGAGGGCGTTCCACAGAGCGGGCGCCACCACCAAGAAGGCCCTCTGCCTGGTTCCCTGTAACTTGGCTTCTCGCAGTGAGGGAACCGCCAAAAGGCCCTCGGCACTAGACCTCAGTGTCCGGGCAGAACTTCAAACCAGTTTTGGATGATATATCAATGTATCGCCCAGCCCTACCCCTCACCATGGAAGGGATTGGCTACATTGGGTCCTTAGGAGCTAAAGCAACAAGGAAGCATAAATTAATATTAGTCCTTGGCGAAGAATAGACTGTGTGATTAAACTACTTACCCATGAGAACAGGAAAAGCCTAGCATTGCCAGCCCAAGCCATTTTGGTATCAGAAGCAGGGTCCAAATGCCCTCTCCTCACTAAGGCAAACATTTTAAAGAGCCTTTTTTCACACCATTCAGCCACAAATGGCTGCCTTCCTCCATCCCTGCGCGCTCCCCAGGCTCATAGGAAGGTGGTTACAGGACCAGCCCTGCAACTCTGGATGTTCTCTGCCTCTTCTGCAAGCATATATACAGGAAGTCAGCCTGCGCATGAGGAGGTGGATTTTGGGGTGTCCTTAAGGACGGCTGGGCAGGAGACACATTCATCTGGCCAACGAGGCACAAAACACTACAAAGCCCTAGTTTGCAAGCTTCAAGGCAGTCTTCGCCATCCTGGGTCTCTCCAAATGTTTTGGACTCCAACTCTCATCAGAGTCAGGAGATGAAGCCCAAAACACTGGGGAGCAGGCAGCAGTTTGGCCAAGGCTGCCTTACTGAAATGAAGGAGGATCTATGTTTGCTCTTGCATGGGTCTCTGTCATTCCAGTTGAGCTTTTCTCCATTTGAGACAGGCTTCTGGTTCATCTGGGTCAGTGGTGGCGAACCTATGCCACGCATGCCAGAGAGGACACTCAGAGCCCTCTCTTTGGGCAGGCGCGCTGTCGCAGCACCATGACCTGGTGAATGAGTGAAGGGCTGAGCAGGCATTGACTTTTGATGCACCAGGGCCTCCCGCCAGTCTGGTTTTCCTACTCAGGAGTAAGCTGCCTTGAGTTCAGCAGGGCTTAACTCCCAGGTCAATAAGCATATTAAAACGGCAAGCTAAGAAGGGGCATAGAGAAATCTCTATGTGGGACAAGAAGCTACAGTTAGAATGGGATATGGAACAACTGACTGGTTCAAAATTGGGAAAGGAGTACGACAAGGCTGTATATTGTCTCCCTGCTTATTTAACTTATATGCAGAATTCATCATGCGAAAGGCTGGCTTCTTCACTGAGCAATCTGCTACAACCCCAGGATCTGTTTGCTGGTCAGTCACTGCCCGTTTAGACCTCATAAGTGTATATGTGAAATTAAGAATCGCCCCGCCTCAATGTTTGTTTGAACTGCACTTGGCTTCTTGCCGCTGTTCACCCAAGTCTAGAGAGGTCCTTTCGGACATCTCCACAAACTCTTGTAACGACAACCCTGAATGATTCACCAGAAAACTTGGCCACCTCACTGCTCACCCCTAACTCCAAATTATTCATGAACAAGTTAAAAAGCACAGTGTTGGATTGGGACCTGGGAGGTCAGAGTGATATGAAGGTCACTCCATGCGACCTTGGGCATGGGAGTAGCCAGGATTTTCGGTTTGGGAGTATTTTTATTGATGCGCCCCTGTCCCACCCTTGGCTACGCCCATGCCTTGGGGGCTGCTCAGTGCCTCTCACCCTAGCCTACCCCACAGGGCTGCTGAGAGGGTTAAATGAGGAGAGGGGAATGAGAAACTTATACGCCCCCCATATCTCCTTGGAGATAAAGGTGGGAAATATAGCCCAGTATACCTGCAGGAGTGTCTCCACCCCCATCGTTCAGCCCAGACATGGAGGTCCAGCTCCGAGGGCCTTCTGGCGGTTCCCTCTCTGCGAGAAGCGAAGTTACAAGGAACCAGGCAGAGGGCCTTCTCGGTGGTGGCGCCCGCCCTGTGGAACGCCCTCCCGTCAGATGTCAAAGAAATAAAAAACTACAGTGGTACCTCGGGTTACATACACTTCAGGTTACATACGCTTCAGGTTACAGACTCCGCTAACCCAGAATTAGTACCTCGGGTTAAGAACTTTGCTTCAGGATGAGAACAGAAATCGGGCTCTGGCGGCGCAGCAGCAGCAGGAGGTCCCATTAGCTAAAGTGGTGCTTCAGGTTAAGAACAGTTTCAGGATAAGAACAGACCTCCGGAACGAATTAAGTACTTAACCCGAGGTACCACTGTATATGACATTTAGAAGACATCTGAAGGCAGCCCTGTTTAGGGAAGTTTTTAATGACTGATGTTTTAATGTATTTTTAATCTTTTGTTGGAAGCTGCCCAGAGTGGCTGGGGCAGGGGTCTGCAACCCGCGGCTCCGGAGCCACATGTGGCTCTTTTACACCTTTGCTGCGGCTCCGGGGCGGATACTAGCGAGGGGAGGAGGCGCATTGTGCGCCCCGACACTCCCCACTGTGGCGGGCGCTGTACTGGCTGTGACGTCGCATGGGGGCAGTGCGTGCGTTAGTCACGCACCGTCCCGACATCACCTTCCCGGTTTTGCGGCTCCCAGTTTTTTTTTTCTTCAGAAACGGGTCCAAGTGGCTTTTTTTGTCTTAAAGGTTGCAGACCCCTGGGCTGGGGAAACCCAGCCAGCTGGGCGGGGTAGAAATAATAATAAATTCTTTATTATTGTTACTATTACTATTATTATTATTATTAAATAAGTGCAATCAAATAAATAAATAAATAAATACACACACAAATACATAGATACAGCGATTCCTGGGAGACCTCTCTTCCTATACAATTCAAAGTGTTGGTGTTGACCTTTAAAGCCCTAAATGGCCTCAGCCCAGTATACCTTAATTATTAATATTAATATTATTAATTATTATCATTAGTTTATTATTATCATTATACACCTCCACTGCCATCCTTTTACATGTATACGAAACAACGGGCCCCAGCCGTCCTTTCGGGCTTGCTGGGCCGTGATAAGCCACATCACCCGTCTAGAGGGCAGCCCCATAACCTTCCTCTCCTCCCCCCCCCCCGCACCCCATACCTGTCCCTGGTGGTCGATGTAATAGAAGTACTCTCGGGTGCGGGGCGTGGGGCTTTGGCCCTGCTGGTAGGCAGGCCGGTCGGGTCCGCGGCGGATCCCCGGCCTCAGCAGAAAACGAAGCCCGCCACGCAGCAGCCGCATCCCGGTTTCGGTAACAGACGACAACGGCGAGAGGGCCCGGGCTGCAACCGAGGCCTAGTCTAACCGGAAGTGCAATGGGGGACCGGTGCGGCGACGGACCTGCCTCCCCCACGCTCCGGAGGCGCGTAGAAACGTTCCGCTCGCTGCATCGGCTGGCGCCGAGACTAAGCCTTCTCTCGTTGCAACTGCTTTTCCCCCGCCAAGCAGCCCGTCCTGCGGGCGGATCCCTTCCTTGCTCGGCAGTCTGTCCCATGTCAGTGCCTAGAATCATAGAATTGGAAGAGACCACAAGGGCCATCGAGTCCAACCCCCTGCCAAGCAGGAAACACCATCAGAGCACTCCTGACATATGGTTGTCAAGCCTCTGCTTAAAGACCTCCAAAGAAGGAGACTCCACCACACTCCTTGGCAGCAAATTCCACTGTCGAACAGCTCTTACTGTCAGGAAGTTCTTCCTAATGTTTAGGTGGAATCTTCTTTCTTGTAGTTTGGATCCATTGCTCCGTGTCCGCTTCTCTGGAGCAGCAGAAAACAACCTTTCTCCCTCCTCTATGTGACATCCTTTTATATATTTGAACATGGCTATCATATCACCCCTCAACCTCCTCTTCTCCAGGCTAAACATGCCCAGCTCCCTTAGCCGTTCCTCATAAGGCATCGTTTCCAGGCCTTTGACCATTTTGGTTGCCCTCCTCTGGTCACGTTCCAGTTTGTCAGTGTCCTTCTTGAACTGTGGTGCCCAGAACTGGACACAGTACTCCAGGTGAGGTCTGACCAGAGCAGAATACAGTGGCACTATTACTTCCCTTGATCTAGATGCTATACTCCTATTGATGCAGCCCAGAATTGCATTGGCTTTTTTAGCTGCCGCGTCACACTGTTGGCTCATGTCAAGTTTGTGGTCAACCAAGACTCCTAGATCCTTTTCACATGTACTGCTCTCAAGCCAGGTGTCACCCATCTTGTATTTGTGCCTCTCATTTTTTCCCCCCAAGTGCAATATTTTACATTTCTCCCTGTTAAAATTCATGTTGTTTGTTTTGCCCAGTTCTCTAATCTGTCAAGGTCGTTTTGAAGTGTGATCCTGTCCTCTGGGGTGTTAGCCACCCCTCCCAGTTTGGTGCCTGATTTACGTATAAGCTGAACAAGCTGTAGCTTAGGGCCCCATTCTCTTAGGGACCCCCAAAAAAACTTAAAGGAGAAAAAACTGGATGTACATTTATAAAATATAAGATAACAAATAAAATAAAACCTGGATGTACATTTCTAAAATACTGTACAGTGGTACCTCGGGTTAAGTACTTAATTCGTTCCGGAGGTCTGTTCTTAACCTGAAACTGTTCTTAACCTGAAGCACCACTTTAGCTAATGGGGCCTCCTGCTATCACTGTGCCGTCAGAGAACAATTACTGCTCTCATCCTGAAGCAAAGTTCTTAACCCGAGGTACTATTTCTGGGTTAGCGGAGTCTGTAACCTGAAGCGTATGTAACCTGAAGCAAATGTAACCCGAGGTACCACTGTATAAGATAAAAAACAAATAAAACCTACATACAGCAGAGGCCAATCAAAACAAAAAGTCTATAAGGATTGGGGAATCTTTAAAGAATATTTAGAAAACTATGGAATAAAAGGAAACATCTTGGCAGAATTAGACTGATCCCTATATTGTATAAATAAAAGTTTGTAGGGAGGTAAAAAGAAACTATGTAAGAAATATGTAACTGCGGTATAAAGCAATGGACAGATAAAGTACAGTGAGATTAATTGGAAGTCAGTTTTAAATTTCTTCTCTATAAGTTTTATAATTGTGTTCAGTATCAGGAATATATATGATGATAATTATATTAATATTGTATCTTATAGCGTGGGGGTTTGTTTGATTTTTCTGTTATTTGTTTGTTTGTTTGTATGCTTGTTTACTTGTATGTACATCTGTTTTCTCATAAATGTATTTATTTTAAATTAATAAAGAAAGATATATTTTTTAAAAACCTACATACAGAAGCAGTGTTTTCTTGTTACAGCAAGTTTCCAGAGACTAGATTATGTGTCTTTCAAATTGTGCTTCTAAAGGAACTTCTGTTATTGCCAAATGCCAATGTGCGTGCATTATTAAGTTTGTTATGAATAAAAAATCATTTTAAGTTAGAGCTTAATAATTATTTCACTATTAATATACTTCTTAATTGTATTTCACTATTGAATACTTCTTAATTGTATTTCAGTTCAACAATTATTTTGATAAAATACATATTTTGTTATGTGCAAATGGCTTGAGATACCTATTAGGTCCATAAATTACCATTTAGCATATATTCAACACACAAAAAAAGTGACAATTTCTTGTTGACAAAGGACAGCTGGACACATAAAAGGCCTCATCCTCAGAGCTTAGGGCCTCTGACCCATGTTACAGACTCCTGTTCACGTTTCTATAATGCAAACTGGGTTGCCACATTTTCTTTCCTAAACTGCTCCTGTGTCTTTACTGAGAAAGGCTGGAAATGATGTTTGACTTTTTTTGTGTGTCTTCCTTTTGGCTTTTCAAGGCAGAGGAACCAACGAGAACTCTCTCTCTCTCTCTCTCTCTCTATATATATATCCATCCCACCAAAGGAGACTTTCAGGCCAACCCCCCAGCATGCCTACTCAGATGTAAGTCCCACTGAGTTCCATAGGACACTTCCAAATAGCATGCAAATCATTGCAGGCTCCTCCAGTTCCTCTCACTAACTCACGATCACACACTTCTCCTTGCCTCCAACCAGTTCACCCATTATGAAAGTGGAGATAGAAAGTAGCTGCATTCAGATAATTTACCTACATGAATACTAAAGGCAAACCTAGACAGCATCCTAAAAAGCAGAGACATCACCTTGCCGATAAAGGTCCGTATAGTTCAAGCTATGGTTTTCCCAGTAGTGAAGTATGGAAGTGAGAGCTGGACCATCAAGAAGGCTGATCGCCGAAGAATTGATGCTTTGGAATTCTGGTGCTGGAGGAGACTCTTGAGAGTCCCATGGACTGCAAGAAGATCAAACCGATCCATCCTTAAGGACATCAGCCCTGAATGCTCACTGGAAGGACAGATCCTGAAGCTGAGGCTCCAAGACTTTGGCCACCTCATGAGAAGAGAAGACTCCCTGGAAAAGACCCTGATGTTGGGAAAGATGGAGGGCACAAGGAGAAGGGGACGACAGAGGGCGAGATGGTTGGACAGTGTTCTTGAAGATACCAACATGAGTTTGACCAAACTGCGGGAGGCAGTGGAAGACAGGAGTGCCTGGCGTGCTCTGGTCCAGGGGGTCACAAAGAGGCGGACACGACTAAATGACTAAACAACAACAACAACAAAAAGCAAACTTGCAGTTCAGACCAGTGGAACTCCCAGTCCATTGACATTAGGCAAACATGCAGCCCAAGCAGAGTGTGTTACAAGAAGGATGACTTGGTTCCCCCCCCACCTTTTTCTTGCAATTTAATGATGTTGCAAAGCCATGGCAGAGGCCCCATCACTGCCACCTACTGACTATTATCGATAGCACACAAAACTACAATAATAAAAAAGCCAAGTACTGTACGTATCCTGCAAAACCAGGCATAAAAATGGCCAGCCTTAGATGGCAAAGGCTTTGACAGCTCCCAAAATCGACTAATTTTTAATGACTCGTGTGCCTTTAATAGCAGCCCCAAATGCCAGATTTTGGCAGGTGAGATTTCTTCCTCATCTTTTTATATTTCTAGGTCACGGGCTGAAAAATTGATGCCAGCCAAGAAAGCATTAACAGCAAAGGCTAATAAAGCAAGACTGTCACCTGCTGACAGCTAAAAACATAACTGAATTTTGCTTTAGCAGCTTGAGCTGTGGCATGAAAAATTTATTACACGTTGGAAGCAGGTGGAGGTGAAAGTAGGAAAACTTCAGAGCAGAAAACAGCAGGGAATGCAAAAGAAACCTAAATATAGTGGGTCAATGCTTGATCAGAGCCTATTTTCACAGCAGCAAAGATGATCACAAGGATGCCACATATGCTTCAAGTTAAAAGGAGGGAGAATGTAGGGAAACTTAAAAGAGTTTTATCATAATTCATTCCTATTTGGGGATTAAAGGATCTTTCACTTTTGGTTTTCTTAGTTTCTCATTTTCCAGTTTTAAATTCACTTCTCCACATTGCTACAGAAATATGTGAATTTTAAATCCTGATGAAAATTAATCGGTGTTTTAGTGCAAATTTCTCCTAATAAGCACATTTTTATATGCAGCTTGGCATTTGAACTTGCTGGCATCCGTCTGTCTCGGAAGCAACAAATATACGATTTTGGCAAGTAGTTTCCCCTAACTTAATGCATTTTTGTATGTTATTCTGATTAATATATTGTCATGTACAATTTGCACAAATATATGCATTTTGGAAAATGCTATGTATTTGACCTGCATCACAAAATTTGGATAAGTGTGAATTTTGAAGGATGGCTGTGCTTTGGTTCTCATATATTTTTCCTGGAAAGTGCAAATGTTGTAATTTGTTTTAAAACGCAAACTGAATCAAATTTGTTCCCCAGCCTCATTCTTATTTAAGTCCCACCTTTTCCCCAAGTAGCTCAATATTGTCTGTCTCCCCCCCACCCCACCCAACAACCTTGTGAGGTTGAGAGATAGTGTTCCAAACAACGTCACCAAGCGAGGATCTGAATCCAGTTCTTCCCAGTCCTAGTTTGGGTTTGCAACCACTATACTACATGGCCTCTCGCAGATCTGCAAGAAATGGAAGCATAGGGAACAGAATGGACTCTCAAAATTTTAAAGTTGTCATTCCCTGATAGACAATTACACTGTCAGGTTGTCTGCTACCTGATGAAATTGAATTTTTCCAGTTAAGGTCACCTGTGAATTTGGGAACACCAAGCAATCAAAAATACTTCCCCCACCAAAGCGCAAGAACCAGACAAGAGGCAGTTCAGTAAAACTAATCAGGAGCATTATGAGGAAAGTTGCTGTGCGAGGAGGAAATTGCCTTGATGCCGGCGGTTCTTCTGTTCCTTGGAGGCTGAAAATAATCAGGAAAGTTCAGCAGCCAGCTTTGCTTTCAAAATCTTTCAGGGGGATTGGAGATTAGCCTGGCGAAATGAAAACAGACTTGTAAGCAAGCAGCTCTAGCATGTAGTTCCCATTCCCTTCTCTCTGGAGCAGCCTTTGCCAACCTGGTGCCCTCCAGGTGTTTGGCAAAACAGCTCAACTCCCATCAGCCCCATCCAGTGCAGCTCTCAATTTACCTCTGCCCCACCTATCCTGTTGAAGATAAGCCCCCTGAGGAAGGCATTGAGTCTCTAGCACACCACAGGTGCTAAATCAGGAATTATTTATAAATTTATAAATTCATAAATGAGGAACCAGTAGGCCTCCATATGTTGTTGGACTACAACTGTTGGCCATTCAGGGTGGGGCTGATAGGAGCTGGAGTCTCACTACCTGGAGGGCAACAGGCTCCCTCCCTTTCATTTTTTTAAAAAAATATTTATTGCTTTCTTAGTTTTAAAAAGAAAAATTATAATCAACCAAAAAGAACCAAAGATTACTACGATTTACAAAGGATAAATTAAATTCTTACAACATAACTTCCATTGTGACTTCCAGCCACCCCATCAAGGGTCCCGGTTTTCTTTTATGTAACCCGCTTTTCATTATCTCTTCAAACTTTGCCCAAGTTTTATTTTTGCAAAGTTTTCTATGTTCATACAGGAATCAGTCTAAACCTGCCAGAGGATTCACATTTTTACAATGCTCTTCAAGGTATGTTCTATGAATGTCCCACTCTCTAATAAAAGTTTGTTCTGTATTGTCTCTAATTCTTCCTGTCATTCTTGCTAGTTCTGTATATTCCAATAGTTTTGCCTGCCAGTCCAGTTTAGTCGGGGTAGTTTCTCCTTTCCATTTTTTGCTATTAAAATTTTTGCTGCAACTGTTGCATACATAAAGACCTTCCTCATATTTTTAGGAATGTCTGTATCAATTATACCCAGTAGAAAGGCTTCAGACTTTTTTACAAAGGAGATTTTTAACATCTTTCATATTTTATTCCTTAGATTAGTCTTTCCATATTTCTATAATGTATGAAAGTTCTTTCCCGTAGCTGGTGCTGTATCCAATATTATTTATTTAGGGGTCCTATCAAAGATCATATTTCTTGTGTTCTTTCTTTCGAAGTACTCCCCAGATGCATCAACAGTTAAATTATTATTAATAAAATATGTTTTTTCTATAGCATTTTAAAATCCTGTTAATTAACTCAGTGATTTTGCTGGTGGGACAGAACATTGGCGAATGAGAGTAGGGGGCATATTTTTATTCTTTACTGAGTACCTAGTACTTATCCTAATTGTATGCCTTTTGTTCCTATTTTACCTTTAAAAGTAAAATAGCAAATAAATAAATGAAAATCGTTTTAAAAATGAAAGCAGATTGCTGTGCTTTGTGCAACTGCCCAGCTAAAATAAATCCTTATGAATCAGTGCCCTGTGCACACTAACCTAGGAGAAAAGCTCAAATTGTTGTTGTTGGTGGTGTTATTATTATGCCTTTTCCCCAGGGACTCAAGGCAGCTTACAGATAAAATAGAGACATTTAGATAATCATTTAGATAAAACAATAATGAATGTGTATGTGTGTATATTAAAATATATCTATTAAAATATATAAATATTTACAGTAAAAACATTACAAATCACAGTCCCAGCCCTTTCCATCAAATGAATGCAAGTGGGATTTTTGCATCTAAAATACATAATACAGTAATCAGGGCAGACTCTGACAGACTGAAGCACTGGAGTTTACGAGAATATGAAGATGCATCACTCTGCTTGATCCAGAGGATGCAGTTAGTGCAGGATGCTGCAGCACAATTGCTGACAGGAGGCCTTGCCAGCATACGACAGAGGTCTGCACTGGTTGCCCATCAGCTACCGGGCCAAGTTCTTCTCCCCGCCCACCACTTTGATAAATTAAAAAAGAAACATAACATAGAATTTGCATTACAAGTTGATAGAAACAGTTGTTGTTGGGTCGTTTAGTCATGTCCGCCTCTTCGTGACCCCCTGGACCAGAGCATGCCAGGCACTCCTGTCTTCCATTGCCTCCCGCAGTTTGGTCAAACATGTTGGTAGCTTCGAGAACACTGTCCCACCATCTTGTCCTCTGTTGTCCCCTTCTCCTTGTGCCCTCCATCTTTCCCAACATCAGGGTCTTTTCCAGGGAGTCTTCTCTTCTCATGAGGTGGCCAAAGTATTGGCACCTCAGCTTCAGGATCTGTCCTTCCAGGGAGCACTCAGGGCTGATTTCCTTCAGAATGGATCGGTTTGATCTTCTTGCAGTCCATGGGACTCTCAAGAGTCTCCTCCAGCACCAGAATTCAAAAGCATCCATTCTTCGGCGATCAGCCTTCTTGATGGTCCAGCTCTCACTTCCATACATCACTACTGGGAAAACCATAGCTTGAACTATACGGACCTTTGTTGGCAAGGTGATGTCTCTGCTTTTTAAGATGTTGTCTGGGTTTGTCATTGCTTTTCTCCCAAGAAGCAGGCGTCTTTTAATTTCGTGGCTGCTGTCACCATCTGCAGTGATCATGGAACCCAAGAAATTAAAACTCTCACTGCCTCCATTTCTTCCCCTTCTATTTGCCAGGTGATGGGACCAGTGGCCATCAAAGGAAAAAACACTAATAATTTTCCAGTTAACTACAATATCATCTTCCATTCTATTATTCTACATTTCATATCTTTATACATGACTTCCTGTCCACGCCCAATGTATTTACCCAGTATATTTACTTTAGAAAACTACTTGTACTAAAATAAATTTCATAATTCAGTTATGTTCATAATAAACTTAACGTCTTCTTCACTAAACCCTTTGTCTTATTTTACTTCAAACATTTTATTGTTTAAACAGAAATCATTCAAACGCTGCCATAGTTGCCACACCTTGATTATAGTTCCGTAAATCAGGCAATCCAGGTGAGAACTTGGTTGTTTTGTGCCTTTTCACTGCCTTCCTTTCAGCCCCCACTTAAAAACATTTTCATTTGGGCAAAACTAGCCAGGTGCTTAGAAATGCTGGGGTGGGCTTTTTAAAAATCTGTTTTAACTTCCCGTGTGTTTTTAAAGCACCGTTGTAAAAAGAAAAATAACTGAGTTTATTGTTTTGTCCTTTTTTTTGCAAACTGCTTCAAGGTGGTTGTTTTTTTAAAAAAACCAAACCTTTTTTTAATAAAAAAGATAAAAATTAAATTGAATTTTATGAGAGAAATAAAACAAAGCAAAAAAAGGAGCCAAAATTTGATACCGGCAAGCGAGAGCTCAGGTAGTTTTGAGGTATTTATTTTAAAAACAAAACAAAACAAAACACACCACCACCACTTTGGTTAATTTTTATCTTTAAAAATAAAATAAAATCAAGTGGTCTCTTGAATTTTATGAGGTAAATAAATAAAACAAAGCAAAAAAAGGAGCCAAAATTTGATACCGGCAAGCAAGAGCTCAGGTAGGTTTGAGGTATTTTTTAAAAAAACAAAACACACCACCACCACTTTGGTTAATTTTTATCTTTAAAAATAAAATAAAATCAAGTGGTCTCTTGAATTTTATGAGGTAAATAAATAAAACAAAGCAAAAAAAAAAAAAAAGGAGCCAAAATTTTAGACCGGCAAACGAGAACTCAGGTAGGTTTTTTTAAAAACAACAACAAACCACCACCATCACTTTGGTTAATTTTCATCTTTAAAAATAAAATAATATGAAGTGGTCTCTTGAATTTTATGAGGTAAATAAATAAAATAAACCAAAAAATGGGGCCAAAACTGTAGACCAGCAAGCGAGCGCTAAGGAAGCCCCTCAGCGAACTGCCCCGCTGCCGGCCTGACGCACCTGTCAAGGAGGCTGACATGATGCTGATGGTATATATACCGACCCGCTGGGACCAATGGGGATCCGGGGTCTGAGGGCCCGCTTGACCAATCAGAGGGCGGGTCCCCCCCCCCGCCTTCTCCGAAGGTTCCGGGCCGTTAATGGCCGTTGGTCCAGGTGACGGCGGGCGGCGGCCAGTGCGCAGGCGCAGCCGACTCCGCCGCTGCCGCCGGCGACGCCTGAGGAGGAAGATGGAGGAGGAAGGAAAGTTGAGGTAAAGCGGCGGGGAGAGCGCGCTTATTTCCGGCGGCGGGCGGGCGGCGGGGTCGGCAGGAGGGGTTGAGCGAGGGGGGTCTTGGTGGGTTTGAGGCGACCCCAAGGTCCGACGGCCCCCCTCTCGTTTTAAACGGCTGCCGGGCGGGTGGTGCTCCTCTCCAGAAGTGGCTGCAACTACGAAATACAGGGGAGGGAAGATATTATTATTATTATTATTATTAATTACTACTACTACTATTTATTTATTTATTATCAGTGCTGGATTTACGTGTAAGCGAAACAAGCTCTAGCTTAGGGCCCCACTCTCTTGGGTGGCCCCCCAAAAATTTAAAAGGGGGGGGAACTGGATGTACATTTCCAAAATATAAGATTAAAAAACCCCAAATAAAATAAAACCTACATACAGCAACAGTGTTTGGTGTTAGATTCAGGTAGGTAGGTGGTCTGACGCAGGTGGATTCAGGTAGGTAGGTGTTGGTCTGATATAGACTGCGTCAGACCAACACCAACACCAACAATATATATATATAATATATATATATATATATACACACACACACACACACACACACACTGTATTTATATATAAATAAAGAGAGCTGAGTGGGGGGTGCTTGTGTAATCTCACTGGATACAAGTTGTACAAGTGACAAAGTATTTATATAAATGTCCAGTAGCACCTTAGAGACCAACTAAGTTTGTTCTTAGTATAAGCTTTCGTGTGCATGCACACTTCTTCAGATACTCTGAAACAGAAGTCGCCAGACCCTTGTATAAGTGTTTGGTGTTGTGTAGGCTCCTATAATAAATAATAAAAATAATAAATTTTTATTTATACCCCGCCCTCCCCAGCCAAGACTGGGCTCAGGGACGGCTAACAACCAATAATAAAAACAAGTTGATTAAAATACAATTTAAAAGATTAAGATACTGTACAACATTAAAACATTAGGATGCAGCCTCTTCACAGGAGGAGAAAGGAAAAAGAAAGAGATGTATGATGTAAGTAATGTGCCTCCGATCATTTTAAGTTAGAGCTTAATAATGATTTCACTATTAATATGTTGTTATACTACTTCTTAATTGTATTTCAGTTCAACAATTACATTGATAAAATACATATTTTGTTATGTGCAAATGGCTTTAGATACCTATTAGGTCCATAAATCAACACACACAAAACAGCGGCAATTTGTTGTTGGCAAAGGACTGCTGGACATATGAAGGGCTCCATTACCTTCAGTAGCTTAGGGCCTCATCAAACCTAAATCCGGCCCTGATTATTATTATTATTATTAATTTTTTTATTTTGCAAGCTGCTTTATCTTACCCAAAGCAACTTGCAACCCAAAGGTTAATTGCTTTGAGGGTTTTGGTTTAGTTTCTTTTTGCTTTTGTTTCAACAGCCAAGCGCTCTTTTTTTCTTTTTTCTTTTTATTGGGTTCTTTTTTTTTTTATGACAAGACCATAAAAAGTGAAGGAACAAAAACATACAAACAAACAAACAAAAGAAAAGAAAAAGAAAAAAGACAAAGCAACACATACAAAAAGAAAACAAACCAACATCAATTCATAACATAACATTAATTGCCATAGCCCAAAACCGAGATGGAGGGAAGTCAATCAATTAACAGCCAAGCGCTCTTTAACTGCTATGGAATAAATAAAGGAGAGGGGTGGCAGCCCTGTGGTTGTGGGGCAGTTGGCTCTGGACTCAAGATGCTGTCCGGGGTGTGTGGAAGGGGGGTAGTAAGTGCTCTTTAAGAACAGGGTTTGGGCTTTCCGTCATTTCTGCGATGACGTTGAGGACACAGGTGTCCCCTTGGCACAGGGTTTGGGCTCAGTTAAACGGGCACAGAGGGAAACTGCATGGGCCTTAAAGAAATCTCTTTTTAAATAAAGTGGCTTTGAAGAGTTCCAGTGCGGAAAGATTGGGCATCTTAATATAAGCAATTGTATGATTTGTGTTGTTTTGTATTAGATGTTGCTGTTACTTTATTAGCTGTTATTTTTTGTGGTTATGGTTTTGGTAGTTGTATTATAAATTGTGGTAACCTGCCCTGGGACCTTAGGGTGAAGGGTGGGTAAAATAATAAAATACTTTGTAGTAGGCTATTGATTTGTAATGGAGAGCAAAGCTAAATAATAGCAAATATTTCTGGTCCATAGAAGAGTTAAGTAAGAACCTGAGAGTTCTGTAATTGGCTTTCTTTAGCTGTCTTATTTGCTGAAATTTTACCTGTGCGAACAAATAAATTCTAAAAGGTACCTTAAAAAATATATTTTAAAAGTCTATCTCTAATGTAGATTTTTTTTTCTTTTTAATTTTTATTTACACAAAGGTTTTTCCAAATGAGTTTCTCTGAGTGTTGGAGAAAATATTGAACATAGTGACTTGGGCTAGGAATCTTAAATGAGGTAAGCTTCACTGAGAAATTATTTAACTGTGTTCAAGTTACATTAATCTTGTGAACTACCGTGAGATCTTGTGATGAAGGGCACTATATAATCTAATAAATAATAATAATAATAAATACAGGGAGGGCTATGATTCAATCTGCTTTGTATGCAAAAGGGCAGTTGATGGCATCTTCAGGGTCTAAAACCCTGAAGAATCATTGCCAATGTAGACAATATTATCTGATTTGTTATAAGGTAGCTTTCTGTGTTCCTAAATGAATACAAATTATTTAACTTAAGTTATGTTAACTTACGTTACTTATGCAAGTATTTATATAGCACAAATTATCGTATATAACCAGGTGGCATACAGCAATACAGTGGTACCTCGGGTTACATACGCTTCAGGTTACAGACTCCACTAACCCAGAAATATTACCTTGGGTTAAGAACTTTGCTTCAGGATGAGAACAGAAATTGCATGGCAGCAGCAGGATGCCCCATTAGCTAAAGTGGTGCTTCAGGTTAAGAACTGACCTCCAGGACAAATTAAGTTCTTAACCCAAGGTACCACTGTATATGCAATAAAATATCATTAAAACAGTATAAAACAAGCACTAAAATGATTAAATTTGACTTGTTGAATAAGTCTTCATGAGAAATTAGACCCCCCCCCAACCAATGGGTGTCTACCAAATTTCTGTTGGAAGAGTTCCACAGCATGAGACCAGCTACAGATATTTATTTGTAGTGCTGGGAATGAAGAACTAAGAGTATTGTTGTGGCATCAGATTTAAAACCAGGAAGTAGAACCTGGTCTAGCTGTTTAGTAAGTTGTACAGGCAAATAGAGAACTACAGGAGTAAGATTGGGGGCGGAGCATTAACTGCATAAAATGAAGTATCGTACTAGGTGCTGAGCTTTTTCTAAATTGTCATTTCTAAGTAATAAAATCAAAAAGTATTTTAAATTTTCTAGCATAGTAAGAAATTGTTGCTATGGACAAGCTCCATGGGATGGGACTTGAATGCACTGTGTTACAGAGGTCCAGTCATCTCTGTGTGCCTGAGATCAGACAGTAGCATTGGGAGAGTGCTTTTTGTGCCCCTACCAGTTATGGTGCGAAGGTACAACAGGGTGGTATTTTATCCCTAGGGGATAAAATTTATGATGGGGATTTTAGACAATAGTTGGCTTAAATAGAATATAAACTGGGTTTTGTAGGAACTTTAATTGAGATGGACTAATTTAGATTACTTTAAATGAAATCTATTTTGAACTGATGTTCTTAGTGACACTTTCTAATTACTTTCTTCTAGGTATATCTTCCACATCCTTGTGTTTTGAAACCTTTTCCACAATGCATTTAATACTGGGATTCTTCTTTTATGGAATCATTTGTTGCTCTGGTAGTCATTCTGCTTATGCACCAATGCCCAGATTACTACTAGTTTCTTTTGATGGCTTCAGGGCTGATTATCTGAAGAAATATGAATTTCCACATCTCCAGAATTTTATTAAGGATGGTGTTTTAGTGGAAGACATTACCAATGCTTTCATCACAAAAACCTTCCCAAATCATTACAGTATAGTCACAGGGCTGTATGAGGAAAGCCATGGTATTGTGGCAAATGAAATGTTTGATGCTGCTACTAATAAAACATTTTCACAATTCAATGACAAAGACCCATTTTGGTGGAATGAGGCAGTTCCTATTTGGGTGACCAACCAGTTGCAGGAAAACAGAACGAGTGCTTCTGCAATGTGGCCTGGCTCAGATGTAAAAATTCACAATACTACCCCTCATTTTTTTATGAAATATGATTCTGCAATAGGTTTCAATGAACGGGTGAAAAACATCATTGCTTGGCTGAACAGTTCTAACCCCCTAGTCAGTTTTGCTACTCTTTATTGGGAAGAACCAGATGCAAGCGGGCACAAGTATGGGCCAGAAGATACGAAAAACATGGTTGGAGTATTAAAAGAAGTGGATAATTTGATTGGCTTGCTTGTTGAGAAGCTAAAGGCTTCCAAATTGTGGGAGGAAATTAATGTTATAATTACAAGTGATCATGGCATGGCACAGTGTTCCCCGGACAGGCTGATCAAACTGGATGACTGCATTGACCGTAATAGCTACACTCTAGTAGACAAGAGCCCAGTTGCTGCAATACTGCCAAAAAGTAAGTATGTTCTTAATATATGTTGATTTTGTTTTTAAAAAGCATAATTTTGATGCTTTAACATGAGACTTAAGACCAAAGCAGTCAAGATACGAGAGATTAGAGATCAAATCTCTGAACTTGAAAAACACGTCCAGCAAGATTTTGATTTTGGTGAGTGAAGCTGTGCTGTTTGGCGGCTTCTGTTTTCCTGGGGGATTGATGGGGGTGGGGTGTCAGAGGGCGCTAAGCATCTATATCATAGCTCTTCAAGGAAGAGAGTAAGAAAACTTTATAGTGCCATCTGTTGTTGCACTTCTAATATAGCAAATGTGTTTATGGTAACATTGGGAACTTTTGAAATGACCTGTTTTCTAATATAGTTGTTGCATAAGCCCTCCTTTGGGTGTGGTGCTGGTGTGGCACCCCACCCCTTGCATCACAGTGTCCATCACCTTACATAGGTGGGGAACCTCCTATGGAAACTCCCTGCACATTTTAAGCCCCTATGCTATGGGGGAGATTCCAAGGCTTCCCAGTTTAGACTTCACCTTCCAACTTGTGGAGATGATAGACATAGCGGTGGTGTGGAGTAGAGCTTAGTATGCTCATCTCTGCCCGTGCAAAGCATTTACACTTGAGTAGCATGCCTGCGTAGGGCAGTGGTTGACAATATAACTTACTAACATTAAAGGCTAAAATGTGGGTTTCACTTTACCTTCAATAAGTTATAGAACCTGGGAGGTAAAGGTAAAGGTACCCCTGCCCGTACGGGCCAGTCTTGACAGACTCTAGGGTTGTGCGCTCATCTCACTCTAGAGGCCGGGAGCCAGCGCTGTCCGCAGACACTTCCGGGTCACGTGGCCAGCGTGACGACGCTGCTCCGGCAAACCGGCACCAGCGCAGCACACGGAAACGGCGTTTACCTTCCCGCTATAAAGTGGTACCTATTTATCTACTTGCACTTAAGGGTGCTTTCGAACTGCTAGGTGGGCAGGAGCTGGGACCGAATGACGGGAGCTCACCCTGCTGCGGGGATTCGAACCACCGACCATGCGATTGGCAAGTCCTAGGCGCTGAGGTTTTACCCACAGCGCCACCCGCGTCCCATAGAACCTGGGAGACCAGGGTTCAAATTCCCACTCGGTTATGAAGCTCACTGGGTGCCCTTGGGTCAGCTGTTGTAGCCTAATCGACCTCACAGGCTTGTTGTGAGGATAAAATGGGGAGCATATGCCACCTCAAGCTTTTTGGAGGAAAGGTGGGCCGTAAATATAATACTTAAATATACATAAAGGCCCAGAGCAAAGTACTGGGCCAGATAAATACTGCAATAGGATTAAACATGTGATCCGCATTGAACTTGCAGCTTGGATGAGGGTGGGGAATGCACTTCAAATGGTAAATGTTCAGGCTTTACAAAAGATAATAAGAGTATGCTTCCTTGCTTTATACTTTTCAGATGAAACATATGTATATAACATGCTGAAAAACTGCAGCACTTACATGAAGATTTATCTTAAAGAAGAGATTCCAGACCATTACCACTACCATCACAATGAGCGCATTCAGCCCATAATTTTGGTTGCTGATGAAGGCTGGACAATTGTACAGAATGAGTCTCTTTCACGGTGTAAGTGTATTCCTTTTGGATGTTTTCTCTTGGCCTGATTTGGAGCAAGTTACTCCCTTTCATGTGGAAGGTACATAGTCATGCAGAGTGCAAAAGCATCCCCGCCTAAACATTGGAGCTGCCTAGAAACACCTGCAGTCATGAAAGTTGAGTTTCATTGCCAAGGCATGCAGCAAATATTAGTGCCGCTTATCACACCTTATTTCAGACTAACACTGGTGGTTCCAAAGTCACCTTCTGGCTTCCTAAACACAGACTGTATACATAGTACAACTTTAAAGCACACTTGAAACATTCCCTCAGATAATTCTGGACATTGTTGTTTACCCTTTAGAGTTGCAGGTCCCTGCAGCCCTTAACAAATGCCAAGAATTCTTTGAGGGAAAGAGTGCACTTTGAATGTGCTTTAAAGGTATAGCGTGTACAGAGCCTCAGTGAGTCAGCTCAACTTTTATGTACATAAATGTTCAGCTAACCAAGCCATAGCCACCAGGGTTAGAATGTATGTTACTGTCCTGAGGGGTGGGGTTTACTGCCCTCTGTGTAAAGTAACAGCTACCAGTCCTCCTAGAAGGCTGGGATAGTGACCTCCAAATAGTCTTAGTCATGCTGGGCACCTGTTGTTGTCCAGTGGTTGGGATGATGGGAGTTATAATCCAGTATCATCTGGAAGCCACCATGTTGGCTTTCCCAGCTACAGGGAGATAAAGGCATACATAGAACTAAACCTGCTCCTGGTGTTCCCAGTGTGTGGAATAACAAGCAGGGTTTACCTGCTTTCACCTGCAAAAACAAAGTAACTTTATTCCTGTGGTATATTTTTAGACATCTTGGTGAAGAACAAAGGTTATGCAGGTGACATGTAATTCAAAGGCATAGCTAACTCTATTACCTAATATTTGGAAACTTGCAGGGAGGATAACCATCTTAGTGGATGGTTGATTTGGAAAGTGCAATACCTTGTACAATAGTACCATACCAATCTGTATTGGGGTGGGGGTGGGAATGCTTTGAAGAACCTGCACTTTTATGGTTCCGGGATTATCTTTAGGGGGGATATATCTGTTCAGGTTGAAGCATAGCACATTAACAACTCTTGCATTCCCTTTTCCCAGTAGGAGACCATGGCTATGATAACTCCCTTCCAAGTATGCATCCATTTTTGGCAGCTCACGGGCCTGCTTTTCGCAAAGGTTACAGGCAAAATAGCATTTATACGGTTGATATTTATCCAATGATGTGTCACATCCTGGGCTTGATGCCTCAGCCCAATAATGGCACCTTGAGCCACGCCAAGTGCTTATTAGCTGACCAGTGGTGTATCAATGTCCCTGAGGCCATTGGAATAGTCATTGGTGTCTTCATTGTGTTAACGACACTTACGTGCCTTATAATAATCATGAAGAGCAGAACGGCTTCCGTGCATCCATTTTCCCGACTTCAGCTTCAGGAAGACGACGACGATCCCTTAATTGGATAATATACACTGATTTGTTTTGAAAACTGGATATGATACAAAACTTACACTGGATAACATCTTATGATGCACTTTAATAAATACCAACCCAGAAGACTGCAGAAGAACATTGCCTCTCTGAAAAAGAAACTCTGAATACAGACCTGGTTTTGTAATGGAAAAGGCATTGCATCACTGTTAAACTTTCAGTTAATAAAGTATCTGCTAGAGTAGTATGATGAGGACTGTGAGATTTAAATGTTTGCCAATGATGCTGCTTTCGGGCATTTCTTATGTAACTCTGGAGATACCCTGGCAACTCCTGAAATCTGGTGGGGGCAAGATCTGTTTCTGCTAGCTGATGGAGATGATTATTGCACTTTCTTGTATTCAGCACAATGCTGAAAGGGTAAATTATTTAAGTTAGAGGCAACTTAGCCACAGACACCCTTAGTGCTATGTAGATCACATCAGTCCCTGTAAGCTAGAAATACTTATTGGGGAAATGTGAATAAAAGCCATTTTAAATGTTGCTTCCTGCTCTGTGGATTGCAGGCACAGAGGGCTTTTTAGTTGCAAACATTTAGTTGAAGCAACATTTAAATATGCTGTGACTTATTTTATGTGTTTATGTGCATATGGTAACTTCAGGATTTTGGAAATAGGTATTTTTTAGTTTATTTTATGAACTTGCAAAACTGATAGTACTGTACTTTAAATTAGCAATCCTCCCTTCTAATAGACCAAAGCAGCTCCCAAGTTCTGCTTCTACTTTGTGGTTGCGTGTACCTCTGATTGATTTCTTTCTCTGGACAAGATTAACAATTTCTTGTTACCTAAATATAGACTCAAGTAGTTGAGATTCCTTTCTGCTTTTAACCGAAGAGTATAACGTGCATACCTTGATTTGAGCTAAGAAGTTACTATGAATATTCAGGGTGGTTGTTTTTTTAACTTCCTAGAATCATCCAACCTACATGCAGACTATTTGTAATTTGGACAAGGTACTATACAGTAGAATGTGTGTCAGTCTGAAGGTTAGAGGCTCAGGGAGAAATGACTACTCGGTGTACAAAGTGGCCATATGTTTAATCATTAGTATTTCAAGCATGGCTATAGATTTGTACAGACCCTTTGCTCATAGTTACAGCAATGGGGTTAGAAGTCCTTTGGTTACACTCCAAAGTGACCAGTTATATTTCCATTTACTTTTTTGAGCTGCTGTAAGGAACAGAAACAAACCTACCGGTATGTAGTAGCAATAGTGGAAGGTGACATTAACTTCGGGTTTGTGAGTGGTCTGTAATCGTAGGAACGGTGGTTTGCTAAAGGCATTGGGAATTGTGGGGTAAACGGGGGTTACCAGGATTCTTTGGGGGAAGTATTGTGGCTTAAATGCACAGCGCGTGCAGCCTTTGAAGTCCATCTTTACGTAGTATTATGGGGGAGGATCTTGTCTCTACTGCTGCTGGTGTTCTGTTTGATGCTCTTTGTGAGAAACAAGTCAAGATTATCAGAATAGTGTTGGGAGATGCAATGTAATACCATGACTCATAGGAAATGATGCTAAATGATTCCCCCCACCCCCTTACATGTGGCTGTGCTGTACAAGCCTGATAATGCTTCAGTAGTTCCTGGGAGTTTTAACCCTTGCAATATAGCTACTTGAAAATTGGTAGCAATCAGTCAAAGTGAAAAAGCACACACGTTCTTGCAAATCAATACTCTTGTTTAATATGCACCAAGTAAGAAAACAGTCTACCAAATAAAACAGCAATTATGAATGGTGATCCACTTCACAGGGCTGTGGAATACTGTTACTGAAAAGTTCTGTCTTTCCTGGAGATGTGTAGCTGGGTTACATGTCCAGGCAGGAAGGATAAACCCAAGCTGATGAAGTGAAAAAGCAATACCAAATATGAGCTATATTTTGAATGTTAAAGGGGTGGTGCCTTAACTAGATATTTATGTTTGCATTACTTGGGGGTTTTATGGAAAAGCTTTGTCCTTATGAATTAAAAAAAATGTTCTGGTTTAACTTTTGGCTACAAGGCTCTGACTATATTCATTCTAGAATGTGTACCTGCAGAGGTAACCTTAATTTCTAACCAGCCCACCTTTTGGGTTTGTTCTTGTTTGCCCTCTTCTGTGGCCAATGTAGGATTTAACCCTGTCCTACCCATTGGCTGATGTCACAAGTCATAAACTACTTACAGTGGTACCTCGGGTTACGTACACTTCAGGTTACATATGCTTCAAGTTACAGACTCTGCTAACCCAGAAATATTGCTTCAGGTTAAGAACTTTGCTTCAGGATGAGAACAGAAATCGTACTGCGGCGGCAGCGGGAGGCCCCATTAGTTAAAGTGGTGCTCAGGTTAAGAACAGTTTCAGGTTAAGTACAGACCTCCAGAACGAATTAAGTACTTAACCCGAGGTACCACTGTATTTAAATTACAACAGTCCACATAATATGAAAACCCTGTTCACCCTTTTCAGCATGTCAATAGTTCATTGTATTCCTCTCCTGCCAAATAGTTAGAAACCAAAAGTTCTCTTTGGGAAAATTCTGTTATTTTAGTTTTGTACTAGTGGGAAAATTCCAGCATAGAAATGGTAGAAAATTTATGCAAATTCCCTCTGCATCATAGCTGGATTAGTTGTGCTTTACCCTGTGGGTAATAAAATCCAAAAGGTGTTTTCTTAGTTGCCATGAGTCAGTTTTAAACAATTTGCAAATTTTCATCTGGACTTGATAAAACAAGACTTTCCATATCAATGCGCAAACCCACAGCTGAACTGAAATTAGAATAAGCCATGAAATAGTCTGTTAAACTAAAAGTCAATTCATGTAATTTAGATTCCTGAGGGGATTTTGTAATTAGTTATGGTTTATGTGCATAAGTGCATTTTGAATGCCACTTGTTCAAGGAAGTTTGCTTCCTTTATTATTATACCTAATTGATTCATTAGTCCCAGTCAGATCTAAATTACTTAACTTCATAAAAGAGGAAACTTTCTAACCTAATAGTTGTGTGTTTCCTTACAAAGTAACATATGATACCTCCCCATATTTAAAAAGCCCGTCCCTTGAAAGAACCTCTGAGGTTTCTCTTCACATCCTTACTCGAACATTTTAAATGTGGATTTCCCTGAAGCCGCTTAGAAAAGTTGTCATTACTGGAAGAGAATTCAAAATGTTTTATAACATGCTCACTTTTAAACATAAGAACATTTATTTTTGTATAGATATTAATGGGCTGGTTTAAAAATGTTTTTGTTTTTTTACGAAATATGAAATGTGTTGCTCATATTTAAATAAATATAAAAAGTGGCAACTATCAGTGCCGCGTTAAGGGTATTTCACAGCTGTTTGTTCAAATAACAGCTTGCTGTGCATTTGCTCCTCATTTCTCCAAAATTGATTTGAAAATGGCGGGACCTACAGTTAAAAATGTGGCATACACACAAATGCCGGCAAAAGCATTGTTAACACACAAACCAGTAAGTTTAATGTCGATGCAGAAGGGGCCCTAGTTCAAAAGGGTGACGGACTGACATTTGGAGGAGGACCTCAGAGGTGTAGCAGAACCCTTAGTTCTCATTCCTTCTCATTCCTTGCAGCAAGGTGCTCTGGCAGTTCTTGTGTACATTGTTATCCAGTGGGGGGAGAACCATGTGCAAGTAACTCATGGTTACATCTACCCCATACATTTAAAGCACATGGCTTCCCTAAAGAAAATGGGCTTTTCCTTTTTTTAGTCCTCTGGGTGGAAGGTTTTTTGTTTGTTTGTTTTCCTAGTTTGCAGGGAGATGGAGACAGTTGTAATTTGATTTCCTTCCCCCAATGGGAAAGCATGATAGCCTAGAGTGCTAGGAAATGTGGGTCTTGAGGCCTTTGGATGCCGTATGAGGTTCAACTGGGTTGCTATGATTTAACTCTGTTTTGTTAAATTTACTTCAGTGGCCTAGAAGGGTTGGGGCTTAGGAGGAGGAGAGGCTGTAGGCCTGGACAGAAGGCACCGCAGCCAATTTTGGGTTTCCCATCCTTGATGCACGTAAAGCACTTCCGAGTACAAAAAAAAGGTCTGGTATAAATGAAAATTTTAAGAAATAACAGCAGCAACATAAATGTGAAATGCCCCAGGTCCTCATCTATTCCTTACTTTTGTATCTTCCATATCCAAGAGAGAAACTTCTATCTGTGCTTATGCTTTTTGTCAATGATAAGCCATTTACTCATGTCAAACTCAGAGCGCCCTCAAGAGCATTATTCAAAGGCAGTGCCACAAGATGGCACTATCAACATAAGGAATTGGCATTTATCCTATCTGCTCTAAAACATTTCCCATGAGGGCAGACACACCAGCCCCTTGCAGTAAAAACAAAGACGACTTGTGGTACCTTAAATATTATAGCATATTATTATTTTATATAGCTGTATATCAATATTTTTCTGGATAGTTTACAAGCAAAACTTCAGTAAGAATAGTAAAGGTAAAGGGACCCCTGAGCATTAAGTCCAGTCGTGACCGACTGGGGTTGCCGGTGCTCATATCGCTTTACTGGCCGAGGGAGCCGGCGTACAGCTTTCAGGTCATGTGGCCAGCAGGACTAAGGCGCTTCTGGTGAACTAGAGCAGCGCACGGAAACACTGTTTACTTTCCCCACTGGAGCGGTACCTATTTATCTACTTGCACTTTGACGTGCTTTTGAACTGCTAGATTGGCAGGAGCAGGGATCGAGCAACGGGAGCTCACCCTGTCGCAGGGATTCCAACCGCCGACCTTCTGATCAGCAAGTCCTAGGCTCTGTGGTTTAACCCACAGCACCACCCGCGTCCCTCAATAAGAATACAGCAAAACAATAATTGAAATAAACAGTGTTCGAACCAAGCTAACGTTTATGGAAGACAAGACTCTGTTTCTCTGGAGACCTCAATATGAGGAAAATTCCAGCTGCCTTTCTAAAATGCCTTAAGGAAGCATGCATGCTCAGTCTTACAGCTCGGAACAGGACACAGATGGTATCTAGGGTATGCATCTAGAAGCCAATCACTGATCAGCATTGTCAGATTGCAGAAGGCGATCTATGGATGCCATAGCACCGGTATAACTTGTTCCTGAACGGTTGGAAAGTGGTTGTTGCTTGTTGGCATCCATCTGTCTCCGGAGACAGTGGAGGAGTACGCCTTCACGGGTGAAGTCAAAGCGCTGGGGCAGGGGGCAGCAAACTTTTCAGCAGGGGGCCGGACCTTGTGGGTGGCCAGGCTATATTTTGAAAATAAAAATGAATTCCTATGCCCCACAAATAACCCAGAGATGCATTTTAAATAAAAGCACACATTCTACTCATGTAAAAACACGCTGATTCCCAGACCGTCTGCAGGCCGGATTTAAAAGGCGATTGGGACGGATCTGGTCCGCGGGCCTTAGTTTGCCTACCCATGCGCTGGGGCATTAGAGTGCCTGCTGCGGCTGTGGAGACCAATACAGGACATGTTTTGCTGGAGCTGGAACAGATGAAGGTGTCTGGTTGTGCTGCTGCAGATGCACATGGCGTCATTTCTTCTCAAAAAGGTGTTGCCCTGTAATGATGGGTGACAATGGGGGAAAAAACCGGGTGCAGAAATCTTTTAAGCAATGGACACTATTTTTTCTAAACTTCCTTTCCTAAGTGCTCACAGACCGACTATTTAATTATCTATTCCTACTGCAAAGTGCTTCATTGGGGGCACCAGCCACTGTTCCTACCTGGTGGAAGGAGACATTGCTGCTGCTTTGGCCTACAGTGGTACCTCGGGTTACAGATGCTTCAGGTTACAGACTCCGCTAACCCAGAAATAGTACCACAGGTTAAGAACTTTGCTTCAGGATGAGAACAGAAATCGTGCTCCGGTGGCGCGGCAGCAGGAGGCCCCATTAGCTAAAGTGGTGCTTCAGGTTAAGAACAGTTTCAGGTTAAGAACGGACCTCCGGAACAAATTAAGTACGTAACCAGAGGTACTACCGTACTTGCTTGCCCCTTACCTGTGGGCAGCAGAGCAGGAGGTCTGGAGAAGATGGACTGACTAGCCACATACATTGCCACCACCATTATTTTACCTTCACCCTAGGGTCAGATGATAGCCGCTGCAGGGTAGCAATAAGTAGGACCTGGGAGAGACCTGGGTTCAAATCCCCACTCAGCCACAAGCTCACTGGGTACAACCTTGGGCCAGTCACTGCCTCTCAGCCCAACCTACCATACTTTTCCGTCTATAAGATGCCCCCTTGTATAAGACACACACACCCATTTTGGGAGACTAAATTTTAAGAAAATGAGGGGAGCTGGCCCAAAGTTGTTGAGGCTCTCCCCCCCTCCCCGCCAGCTGCGGGCAGGAGACACTCCCTAGATCGTTTCCCATGCACAGCGGCATCGGGTGAAATTGCGCTCCCTCCAGCCATCCAGTTTGCAGGAGCGCAACCTCCCACGATGCCACTGCACATAGGAAACGATCCAGGGAGTGCTTCCCATGTGCAGCGGCATCAGGTGAATTTGCGCTCCCATCACAGAGCTGGCTGGCGGCATGCAGCTTCTCCCCACAATGCAGCCGCGGGCAGGAAACACCTCCCAGATTGCTTCCCGCTCACTGCAGCATCAGGGAAAGGCGTGCTCCCGCCAACCAAATGGCTGGCGGCGTGCCGCTCCCCCCCCCCATGCCACTATCCGTGTATTGGACAACCCCAGTTTTTTGATGTGGTTTTTGTGTCAAAAGCCTCG